ATTTTTAATAGGTTTTGTTTTAGCTTTTTTTTTTTTTTATGGGTTTATTCTTTTAGGTTTTATTAAGTTTTAGTTTATTTAATTTGAAATTATTTTAGCATTTCAACTTTGCTATGCTTTGGCAGCTAGTTTTTTTAAAATATTTTATTTCAATTATTCAGTTTTCAGTTATTTATTTTATTTTAAGTAATAAATATTTTTTATGGTTTTAGTTGACAATAATAAACCGGTTTCTTTGTTTTCAAACATTAACTATAAAGCTTAATTTTGTAATTGCATTGAACACGCTGCAATTTTTCTTCATTAAGCTTCTCGTATCCCTGACAAAACAAGCACATCAGCTCTGGTCTCTTACCTGCTCATAAGCCATGAATTTGAGGGCCGTCTCGGGCGCGATTTTGATGATGTTGATGCCGTTGCCCCTCCATAACGAATGCATCCCTCCTTCCTTGATCATCTGGGTGAGACCACTCATGATACACATGTTGTTTCCATGAGATCCATGCACCTAAAACAGAAGAGCCAACAATATAGGCTTATCAGAACAGTGTGTCAATATGAACAGATGATATAATACTTTCATGATTTCAGACTTGACATATTAAATTAAAACTAGAGCAAAGTTGAAGATTTCAGAAAAATGTAGGTAAAAGGTTTTGGCCCAAATCACTGAACTACCAAAGTCCGTTTGAATAACAGCTGACGTAAACATGACAGATCTTCACTATCGCTCGACCGTGACAACGTCAAACGCTATCTCGTATCTGACCACAGAGGGTGTGCTTGACTCCTCGCATTCTGATTGGTCGACTGACTGGACTGTATAACTATTCACAGAGTCCAGATCTTTTCACTGGAACATACATTTATGATAATGATGACCTCCTATTATGACTCTTGGGTAACAAAACCAATTGTTCAGATTTAACCCCAGCAGCCATATGGTTATGAAACCAGTTCGGACTTCGTTTAAAGGGAAATGCTTGTGTACATAAAACCTTCAGTCTACAGAGAAAGCTGAGGTTGGGATTTAGTAAAAAACTCAAGAAAAAGATGTCTTTATTATTTTAATATAGCAAAAAACACACAAGATGTAACACTAATGTAGTTCTATTCACCCTGCAGTGACTTTGCGCCGTGAGTATGGTGTTTTGCAGGTAATTCGAAGGTGTGTGCATCGCTGTACCTGCATGAGGACTTTAAGACGGTCGAGCGGAGCAGTGCAGGTTCGGGAAACCGCTCCAGCTCCTCCACCAGCGACCAGATGTCTCCACCACATCCCCGTCATGTGCTCCTCTGAGGTAAACTCATCTGGGACCATCATGTTCTCTCCCACATCGAAGATCTGCAAACAAACAGATCACTATATATATATATGTTACTTGCCTTTTCTTCGTAATTATTTGTGAAACTAACAATTTCTGAACGAAAATCATTTTAAAAGTGTAGAAAAGTAAGTACAAAATACAAATATTATTGGAGTGTGTTTTACAAGAAAATACTATTTCAGTCTAATTTGACATTTAATTCAATGTGTTATTTGCCATGTCATTGTAATTAGTTGTGAAATCTACTAAAAATTAGTGAAAATGTTAAAAATATTTCTAAATTTAAAAAAAGTTGTAGGTTGTAAATAAAACAAACTGCAGTACATTTGACCAAAAACTAAATTATTTCCGTCTTTCTACTTCAAAATTTCACTTTTACTTCAGTGTTACTTGCCATTTGTAATAATTTGTGAAATTTACTAGCAATTTCTGGGTCTAAATTTCTACACCAGATTTTATTTTTTTTTGCCGTGTAGTATTTCGCATAAGTGCAGCCGTCAACTGCAAGAGAACTAAAGTGCAAAAGCGTGTGCGTCAGAGTCGTCTGACCCGACCAGTGACGCTGCCAAAAACCTGGAACTAGTCTGCGTGAGTCTAATTTGACATTTAATTCAATGTGTTATTTGCCACGTCATTGTAATTAGTTGTGAAATCTACTAAAAATTTGTGAAAATGTTAAAAATATTTCTACATTTAAAAAAAGTTGTAGGTTGTAAATAAAACAAACTGCAGTACATTTGACCAAAAACTAAATTATTTCCGTCTTTCTAATAAACACAGGACATAATTATCCAATATAAAGATATCGGTCAAGCACTGTTTTCAGTAAACGACAGCTACACTCTAAAAAAAATGATTTTCAGAGTTATAAAACATACTCCAATAATCTCTTTTTGTACAAGAAATACCATTTCAGTCTTTCAGTCTAATTTCACCTTTAACTGAATAATAAAAAAAAAACAATGAACTAGTTTATTGTAATTTGTGAAATTTACTAGTGAAAATAAAAATGCAAAATAAAAAAAAATAAAAAAAAGTAAACTTTTTTTTTATTAAGTTGTAAATAATATTGGAGTATGTTTTACGAAAAAAAAAAAATAAATAAAAAATAAAAATAATAATATATATATATATATATATATATAAACACACACACACACACACACACACACACACCCACATA